AAGTTAAAAATTCCTTTGTTATTTACTCTTTCATCACTTTCCCCAGATATGGACGGCCATCCCGACCTACCGTCACTTTGTCAAAAACATGGCAGGTTGGCATGTCTCTTGAAGGTAGTTGAAAACATCAATCTGCCACATTTTATGGCGGATTTGGTGAGTCACTCGGTTTAAAAAGTAAAAGTTTAAAAATAATTTTTTTATAAGTTCTATGATGTTATTTGATTTTATTTTATACTCCCCTTAATTTTTTCTAATCTCAAACCTAAATATATACTAATATTTAGTCGAATAGTTTTTAAGAACTCAAGTTTGCCTCCATATATGGATAATATTTGTCATAAATAGAGTATTTTCTTATTTATTTTTTCTAGGGGATTATTAAGATAAAATTTAGTATATCACAAAAACTAAAAATAACAAATAAAATACTAATTGACAAAAAAAAAACCAACGGGTTGAAAACATTTTGACCCAACCTTATGCGGGGCGGGTTGAAACTGGTTGACGGGTTGAAAATCTCAACTCAACTAGCCATTTGTGGTGGGTTAAATGGGCTAATCTGATGGATTAGACCCGTTTTGCCATCTCTAACTTTACCCCCTATGCTTTGTTTTATATCTTATCTTCCCCGTAACATCGTTAGTAATTGAACTAACTTGGCTATTCTATTTGTGTTTTGACTACATTAAAAGCACTAATCTATCACTCGAATTTTGGCCAAAACCACTAAATCATCAATGGCAGTTTGATGCTGAGATTAACAATTTTTTATACAAATAAAATAGGGATAAAGTGAGTAGATTAATTCAATTACTAACAGTGTTAAATATGGACTTAGATGGAAAAAAAACCATATAGGAGATAACGATAAGAAAAAAAAATGCGAAGCAAGTGATAAAAGAGTAAAAAACAAGGATTTTTTTTGTACTTTTCCCTATTTTTAATATTGATTAATATTTATATCAAAAAAATATTGATTAATATTAATCAGTTTAAAATATAATAAGAAAAAATATAATTTTATAATATAATAATAATATAATAAAATTGAGAATGTGTATTTGAATTTTGTTGGATTTTGCATTTTTACCAAAAAGTCATTTGGGCTTTAATATCTGTTTGGATGGTCTTTTTTCAGCTTTTCTTCTTCTTATAAGGAGAAGTTTGATGAAACATATTTTTACCAAAGCTCTTATCATAATAAGAGTTTTTTTATAATGAATAAAAAAAGTTAAAAACTCCTAAGAGTAGCTTTTTTTAAGATGTATGTTAACTTTTTGGAGTTTTTATATTTTTTAAGTTTTATCCTTGTTTTAAACTTGAATTTATAAAATTTACGCTTTTATCCTAATAATATATTCTAATAACATACCATTTCATTTCCCCATTTTCAAAATCACGAGAACAACTTTATTTATTTACCAACAACTTTTAACTTTGTTTTTATTTATTTTTTAAAATTTAGCTTAAATGTAGCTTTTAGTTAAAAAAAAACCCTCCAAATAAGCTTTTAGTATATGAGAAGAACTCAAAAAATCTAGGATTAAGTTTTTTGGTATCGATATAAATACTCCACTTGCAGTCTTGAGCTGCACAAAGTCAAATCAAAAAGTGAAACTATAGTGTCCATATAATTCTCCCTTTCCTCTTACTTGAGAATAGCCCGGAAGATTCTTCCATTCGGTAGGTGACTTTTACGAGGAGATTCTACAATTGTCATTCGCACTATAAAAAATGGGTTTAGTGTTTTTCATGTATAAGAAATAAATTTATCTCTTACACACACATAAAAGTATATAAGGCTCATATGAGAAAAATATAGTTTGAAGAAAAATCTCTTAATGTATTACATAACTAACACGGCTTAACTTATTTTATCATATTATAACTATACGGAGGATTTTATCTACTTGCAGTTAGGGGTGATAAACGAACCAGAGGCCTTTAGCTCGACTCGTAAAGGTCTGAGCTTATATGCTTAAAATTGGTTATTGGAACTAGGCTTGAACTTGTATAAAAGCTCGTTTAATGAAAAAACCTAAGATTTCAATTTAAAAGCTCGGCCTTAGAGCCTCTCAGGCTGGCCTAGTATATTAATTTTTATTTTTATTTTATATTTTTTATACTACTTGTAATAACTCTGTCTCTCCTCAATCTATTTCACCCTATTTTATTGATTAAACATACTTTTTGAATGATTTTGTTCTATATTATGTTGTTTGAATATACATTGAATTAATGAATATTTATGAAATTACTAGTGCTGTTGATTGTACATTCTGTTTGGATAAATTTTTGTTGTCTTATTTTTTTTAAACAGGCTAAATAAAGCTTTCATTTTTTTGTAAATAAGTCAGGCCACAGGCCGATAATTGTGTTCATAACAGGTAACATGCTTGATCAGGTTGACACATTTAAACACAGACTTAGCTTTTTAAGACCAAAGCTTGACTCGGCTCGTTAACACCCCTATTTGCAGTCACATATTCTACGTGAATTAGGCTATATAACTTCAACTCAAAAATGTTGATCATTCTATTAGCAAAAGAGGGAGAGAATTTTCTTAAAACTTATTAATATAGTAGTTTTTCTAATTATGTGAAAGGTTTTATAAATTAAAAGGGAGAAAGAGATATTAAAAATGAAAAACTCCACCTCAATATCAAACAAAATGCACAATAATAATCATAATTTTAAGTCGTGTTAATGTTCACCACCAGTGGCGGAGCCACGTACCTCCTGGGTGTGGCCTCGTCTCGGGCTAAATTTTAACAAATTATACTTAGAGAAAAATATTTGTGCAGTTACTGCAGATAAGTTATCTGCATTTATTTCTAAAACGACGTCGTTTTGGTATTGAAATCTTAAAAAATTATAAATACAAAGATTATTATAACCCTGAAATAAATTAAAATTACAAAAATACCATGATTTCCGCCCAAAACGACGTCGTATTGGACTTACTGCAGATAACTTATCTGCAGTAACTGCAAAAAAAGCGAACCCTTATACTTATTATATATAATTATATAATTAACTATAATTTAGTCTGGATTAAAATTATAATTTGGCTCGGGTTATAATTTATAATTTGGCCCTATTTAGAACTTAAAATATTTTTGGTAAGAGATGTGGGTAAGTTGTATTAGGTTATGTGTTCAATTTCTACTTGTATAAAAAAAGTAGTAAAATTATTTTTTTAATAAAATTATAATTTTTCTTGGTACTACCTGCTCAGGTGCTCTGTATTTAATATAATTTAAATGAGGAGGGTTATATTTACAAACTTTTTGTTTACAAACTCTTACAAACTACACTATCTACTCTCATAAAATTTATAATATGTACTTTCCGGAGTATATAGTATAATTTGTAAAAAAAATTAAAAAACATTTGTAAACTAATTAAAATTAAGTAAAAAAAATACCCGCACAATTTTTTTGACTCGGACTCAAATTTGAGCCCGGCTGTGGCACTGTTCACCAACATACGCAAGTCAGTAAATAATATACAAGGAGAAAGGGAAAGACCAGAGGCAAACTTTGTATGACATATATATCATATGCTTGGGTTTTTTATAGTTGAAGCATACATATATGGACCAATTATTGATAATCTGGACTTGTCCTCATTAATCAGATGTTAAGGCAGCGTTAAGGTTACTCTATTACTTAATAGATTAATTCGATCATCAACTCTTAGTTAATGCTAAAAAGATGAATATTTACAAAATTTAATCATTCATTGATAACGCCAAGTAGGGAATATTATGATAATCTTTATTTTTTTCTCCACCCCACACCAAATGATCTACGAGAAAAAAAAAAAGTATTTACCTGGAGCGTTTTTGGATTCTTCAAATATTTTTGAGCCACTATCCATGAAACATGATAGTATACTTTTATATATATATATCAATTGATTAGATCAATTACTCCACTAGACCGGTTTGAATTAAGTCGGATCTATAATAAGGAAAGATTATTCCAAGACTATTTTTTCCATTCTCATTTCAAGGGCTCGAATTCAAAAGCTCTGATTAAAAGAAATAAACTTCTTACCAATTTAACCTATTTATAATTATTGACCATATAATAGTATATAATTTGAAAAAATAATGCCGGTGTGGGTGCTCTTGGCTTTTCTGAGCTTACCCTACATAATTTGCTATGTAACCCTCTTGACTTTTTGGCTTGTCTCTGTAAAAACTCTGCATCGCTCCATTTCACACCAAATTCTTTTCGCCCTTTTACATATACAAACCATTTTCTCTCTCTCTCTCTCTCTATCCCTCTCACTGTCCCTCTCACATTCACTTTGAGTTTGACCCGTTGCCAGACACCGGCAGCTCTTTTATTTCTACTCCAATGGTGACCCCACTATGCACTCTCTAGGGGATCTTAATCTTCTAAAGATCTTTGAAGCCTTTTTTTTCTGAGCACAAAGCTTAAATAACCTTTCCTCTCCTTTCATTTCCTTCTTTTTCTTTTCTTCCTGAAACCCTAATTCAGACACACACCCACTAAAAAAAAGCCAAAGAAATCTACTCCTCAGAGAGAGGCCCTCTTCGTAATTCACGCCTCTGTGCTTCCCTTCCTTTCCTACTCTCATCTCACTCTCTAGCCAGTTATGTATCATAATTGAGATCTATATATGCCTATGTTTCTTTTTTATAGCAAACTTTGTCTTTGACTGAAAGACAAGCTAGGAAAATATTTGCTTCCATCGCAGATCAGTCATTCCCAGAAGCCACAGGCTTTTCTACAAGGTTGGTTTTCCAATTGGGTTTCATGGATTCTGTATCACCAACCACGTAGTTCAGTTTTTTTTTTTTTTTTTCTCTCTCTGCAACTTTGAATTTGCCACCGCCCAGTTCCACCACTTGGTACTAATCCCAAGTCCTCTCACTTGCATAAGTTTTTCTATTTCGAATCCCTCCAAACACCTTTTTAGTTGTGATTCTTGTTTCCTCTTTTTGCATAATTCGTGAGCTATATATGGATTCTGGTAATAGTGGAAGCATCTCTTCTAGTGGTGATGAAGAATATGATTCACGTGCTAATCATCAGACCCCACTCCCTTCGTCAGTCCTCAATCAACCTACCCATTTTGGTTCCTTATCCCACCCAATTTCATCCTTTGTTTCTTCTCATCACCACTCTATGTTTGATCTATCTTCAAGCCATCTCTACACTCTCTCTCAATCACAAGCAAATTCAATAAATCCTCATTCTATGCTAAATTTGGAAAGTGCTATCTCTCAAAGCCAAAGATCTGAACCCAATTGCACCGACCCTGCAATAAACCAATGCTTGTTGGGTCCTCAAGCCTTTAGCCACGATGACAATGCAAGACAACTCTCATCAGAACCAACCAATAATGTACAACGCAATACAAAGAAACGAGCCAGAGCTTCAAGGAGAGCACCAACCACCGTTCTCACCACCGACACTACCAATTTCAGATCCATGGTTCAAGAGTTCACTGGAATCCCTTCACCACCCTTCTCAGCCTCATCACCCTCCTCTCGCCGCCTCGATCTTCTCGCTGGAGTGCCCTTTTACCCTTTGCGTCGTTCCGCACAAAAGGTTCAGCCAGACCCTTTCCTTTCATCTTCATCCTCACCTTCGTCTTCAAGGTTGTTGCATAACAATATGGTTGATGCTATAGCTTCCAATACCAACAATTTCTCACCTAATAATAACCCCATTAGCTTCCAAATATCTCCTGATTTGTGTTTACCCTATCACCAGCCACAAAACTTCATGTTAAACATGCAAAATCACCCTATTCTTAATGCATTTCACCCATCTCCTCCTCTTCATACTCTTGTTAACACTATCCCTGCTGGGTTTGATGCAAAGTCCCAAGCTAGTTTGTCCACACCGTCGCTTGAGGATCTAGCTATGAGCCATGGCCAAGTGAATGGTTGCAGCGTTGGAAGCACAGTTGGAAGGTCCTCGAGCAGTTTGAACCATGAGAAGACCTTAGAGAATGACTCATCCGCTAGAGGGGATGGTACTGTGGATTCGTGGATTTGTTCTTCTGATTAGGATTCATGTCACAGTTAACAGTACACAACTTGTGAATCATTACCTATCAGAATTTAAGGCCGCAATGGATTAAGATTATGATCATGATTACGATGTTGATGATAGTGGTGTTGATGTTGGTGGCCAGCATTTTCAGCTATCATTTTTCTATTTTTCCTTTTTCCGTTTTTTATATTTTAAACTTTTTATATTGTTACAAATATAAGTAGCTATAGCTAGTATGAAATTAATTTAATTATAGTATATACTCCTTGAATTTATACTTGATGAACAAATTATCTTTTCTAATGGGATCTAAATTAAGTAAAATGATTACTAGTTCCTTCGCATGATAGTACGTATTAATAGATTGGATTTTATAATAATGCATTAATACTACTAGTAATAATAAGGATAATGATAATCTTATAATCAGTATATATTCATTTGCTTTATTACTTGGGTGAAACCCTGTAGGCCGGGAACCAATCTTTACATCAGGGTTGCTAAAGAGAATATGCAGCTAAAATCCCGAATAATATAAGAAAAGCTGTACCTCATACGAACCCTTGTCTGGTGCTTGCTGTGAGAAAACAAGAAGATTTATGAAGCATATATATACTCAGGGTTCATTTTTTCTTCATAAATCCAAAATAACATCGTTTTGAGACGAAAATTAAGATATTTTTATAATTATAATTTATTTCAGGATTATAATAGTCTTTCTCATTGTAACTTTTTAATCTTTCAACCTAAAACGACATCGGTTTGAAAGTGAATGTAAATAATTTATCTATATTCACTGGATCAATATTAAAATCATATACTTAAGTGTGAACAAGAAAATCGGTGAGCAGCTGAGTTCTGCCATATCAACTACGGAGCATCATGCATCCAATAAATTTTTAGTACTACATAGTATTTAGGATGGGATATGTTTTTCTCAGCTCACATAAGAATATATGTATCCACCTCATTGTAGCGGGAAGAATTAATTCATCTCATGTGACATGAATAACCCATTTAGGATTTTGTGTATTACATATTAAAATAATAAAACAATAATTTATTAAGAAAGATTATATTTACAATCATTTTAATTTTATTATTTTTATTATTTTATTATCCGATTGGTTACCGTTAAATCAATTTGAAATCAATTACAATTAATCTTTTTCATTTTCCATTGGGGACGCTAGCTAGTGACTCTCCGTCTCCGTGGCCCAAATGTGTACCTAAGAATTTTGACTTCGGCTGTAGCCACTTTTTATCTTCGTCTTTAATTCTCTGTTTCTACATCTTCCGTTGCCCCTGAGTATGAACTCATACGCGTGTTGTTGTTAATCATGCATTTGATTTTGACCCAATAAATGAAGGGTAATGCTTTTGTTGCATAAGAGAAGTATTATGTCCTACTCAGACAATAAATAAGAGAGAAAAAAAAGTTGAAGGTGAGAGAAAAAAAATCTTGTGGGACCCATTTAAAAAATGTGAGTGTAGGAGATAATATTTCTCTTATGCAACATAAGAAAAATATTACCCATAAATGAATGTCTTAATTTGTTGTAGGCTAATGAGAATATGGTATAAAGTAAAAGTATTTTATATAAAGTCTTAAAACATTTACTTATACAAAAAAGAGGGGATATTTTTGTACCCATCCTTTTTTAAGTTATAAACACCTACAAAAGTAGTCAAATATTTCTCATTTTCTTAATTGTTTTTAGAGATCGATGTTGAATATGAGAAATTCATTTCAATTAGTAAAGGCCTTACACTTGCCAACACAACGCACCCTCCTAAAACTGCACATACACCAACGCCCACGCACTGTGCTTGGAAAGATAACGGACTATTTGTAATTAACTCCAAAAATAAATTGTTCAACTTTTATAAATTAATTGGTTATATTTTATTAATTATTTCTTAAATACTTATAATAAAACAAACTATCGACAAATATTTGACAATTTAACCAAGATACCAATAGCCTTATGAGTATCATATCAATTCCCCCCAAAATGTACTTTCTTTTATATTTCTCTCTCTCTCTCTCTCTCTCTCTCTCTATATATATATATATATATATATATATTATATTACACTGATATTTACATCTTATGTGACCATATAATTTAAAGAAAAAAGCTAGATACGATTTTACAAACAAAAAAAATTAAAGAATAGAATGATTTAGATTGATTGAAATACGCGCATGATGCTCTTTAATATTAATATGGTTCCATCGTCTGCAGTAATGTATATTACCGTGTCATTCTGTTCTGGGGAAAGTTGATGCTAAATGGCAGCATTTCTGATTATTCTGAAAACTGGCTATATCTCTGGAGTCCCCCTAACGACTGTTATTGATGCTACCAGCTTCAGTAAAAACAAATAAATAAAATATCGCAAAAGCAAAAGAAAATAACAAATTCAACAACATGTTTCTTGTCAACAACGCTGCTAACCTATTGTGTTTTATGTCTTCTATTCTCCGTACTCTTTTGTAGGATTTGGTCTGTGGCTTTAGTGCTACTTTATCCAATTTCATGCCATATTTTATGAAAGATATGTTCGATTCTACGTTTATGCTTTACTATCTATTCCTTGATTTCATTTTGTCTTATACTTTTCTGTTTTCAACAACCAATGATACTTTCTTGTGGAGCAATTGGTGGCAAGATTAGTGGTTTCTTTTATCTGCCTCTATAATAAAATTTCACATCCTTCTAGAATTTCATATTCATTTTAAGTGAAGGGTGGGAGAATTTAGAGATTCAATGACTTTAAATTTTGGAGAAGAGTGATGAATGTGCCACTGTTCATTGACTTTTTTACTCAAATGCTACGCGAGCAGTAAAATTTACCAGACTGCCACTGATAGCGAACTTGGTAGCCAATAATTTCTTGACACGTGACACACTTTCGCAGAAAAAGCTGACTGCCATAAGTCCAAGTTCGCTACCACTGGTAGCGAACTTGGTAACCAATGATTTCGTGACACGTAACATATTGTCGTTGAAAAAGTTGACCGAACGAAGTTCGCTAGCAGGGGTAGCGAACTTCGTGTACTACGTGGCACAATCTCGTTGCTCGATCAGAATTAATGTACCAATCACAATCAAAAAAAGAAAACGAAGAAAAATAACTATTTAATTAATGTACCAATCACAATTAATGTACCAATCACCAATCACAATTAATGTATCAATCATCAATCACAATCAATGTATCAATCACCGATCACGATTAATTTTGATCGCAATTAATGTACCAATCACGAATCATAATTAATTTTGATTGGTACATTAACTGTGATTCGTGATTGGTAAATTAATTGTTTATGATATCATTGTTACAAATTCGAACGATGTTATTGAGAGATAAAATATGTCAAATGAAGTGTCATTGAGTAGATATTGAAAATTTATATGAAATAAAATAAAAAATATCTTATTTGGATATCCGAATCAAAAGTTATGGCCCTCCAAAGCGATTGGTGATTGGTACAATCAAAAGTTATTCTCATTGATACATTAATTGTGATTGATGATTGATACATTAATTGTGGTTCATGATTGGTACATTAATTGTGATTGATGATTGATACATTAATTTTGATTGGTACATTAATTAAATAACCAATTTCCTTCATTTTTTTAATTGTGGTTGGTACATTAATTCTGATCAGGCAACGAGATTGTGCCACGTGTCACCTAGTTCACTTGGACCTTCAGCGAACTTGGTGCATGTCAGACACATGGCACACCTAGTTCGCTGCATGTGGCAGCGAACTTCTCCAATGTGTCGGCATTTATTGCAACGTAGTTCGCTACTAGGAAACGTGCCACATCAGCAAACCAAGTTCGCTGGGCACTATAGCGAACTTGCCCACGTGGCATATTGAGAAATAATACTGTTTGCGTGGCATTTAGAGAAAAAAGTCAGTGAACAATGACATTTTGGTCACTGTTCCGAATTTTGGTTTATGACGTATGTGATTTAGTTCATACTCATTTAGAAATCTTATTAGGCTCTTTTAATTGACCACTTAATTTACCAATAAATTAAATAACAAGATATAATTGACAATAAAATATACAGTTGGGTTTTTTTTTGTCTTTTTAGTGAAACATGTTGCAAAATTTGGGGCTAGCAGTGAACAGTGAGGATAACATCTCAGACTTCTTAAACTAGACTCAGGACTTATAAATGTATGAGATATGATTATGAATTAACATTTTAAAATTTTAAATGTTTACATCGGATATATTTTGGAATAAGATTATATTTTAGTTAGCCTTGCACTTGTCCTTGTTACATACTTATAGGTGCGGCGGTAACATTTTTTCAAATTGATTTTAATTTAGCTTCCACAATATTTATGTAATCTTAATAAATAATTAAATATTTTTTTTTACAATTTCTCTATTATAGGAATATTTTATTATTTTTAAAATTTTTAGAAAAAAAATTAAATAACAAGATATAATTGACAATAAAATATACCGTCCTCAATTATATTAGAAAATAAAATTTTTTAACAAATCATTTTTAAATAAACATCCTATTTACATGCCGTAAGGATATTGTTAATGAAATATTTGATTAAATGATTAAATTATTGTCATTTTATATAAATAAAAAATTAAATTGATGTCACTTTAATTTTCATGACTAAGAGATTAAATTAAAGGAAAAGATATTGTAACAACCAAGTTGTGTTACTATCATGTTACTACCAATCAATTTCACCATTAGAACGGTTATATTTATTTCCCATATTTCACTTTAAATATGGGAAATCATAACCATACAAAAGTAAAAATAAATATAAAGTATTAAATTTGAGAAATCATAACCATTTAAAGATAGAAATAAATATAACCGTTAGATCAACATAATCAATCTAACGGTGAGATTGATTGATAGTAACATAACTTGATTGTTACAATATCCTTTCGCTTAAATTAATTAATATTAATGTTATTCAGAGAACCAAATTGGAGGGCTAACTTAAG